TATAAATAATTTTTGACTTTTAAATTTATTGAATAATTGATATATTTTATCTATATATAATATAAATATATTATTTATTGAATGAATTTAAAATCAAAATTTATTTATAAAAGATAATGGAGGAAGTAAAGCGTTGATAGGTTCATTTTTTTAAATCATTTCTTAAAGTTTAAATATGTTGTTAAATTTACTATTTTTAATTAGTTTTAAAATTATTTTATTATTATTTTTATTGTTTTTGTTTTATTTCAAAAGTATAGAGAAGAATGAAGGTCCATTTTCTATATTTAAGAAATTTAGACTAAATACGAGAGTGTTAGTGTGTGAGACACTTTTAGTGAGGAGAGAAAGAGAGAGCATAAGGAAAATAAGGATTTATTGAATGAATTGTTGTAAATAACGATACATATTATGACTATTTATATACAACCCTAATTGGGCTTGGGCTAATACAACTTGAATTATATTTAAATATTAAATTTAATTTAATTTAATTTAATATAATCTAATCTAATATTTCAACATACCCCCATAATCAAAGCTGTCGAACCTATCCTAATCATAGTCGATATGAACTATTCCTAATTTCTTCCTTAAATTTAGGAATATGTCGATCTTCAATTCTTTGGTCAAAATGTCGGCCAACTGTACTTCACTTGAGTAGTGCCTAACTTAAAGTTCACCTTGATTTACCTTTTCCCTTAAGAAGTGAAATCTAGCTTCGATATGCTTACTTCTTTCATGCAGAACTGGATTCTTCGCTAGATTTATGGCAGACTTGTTGTCGATTTACAACACAAGAGGTTTCTTCACTTTGATCTCCATTTCTTCAAGTACCGATCTGATCTAAATTGCTTGAGGTTCAACATAGGATCCTGCTATATATTCCTCTTCACATGATGATAGTGCCACCACAGATTGCTTTCTCGAGCACCATGAAATTGGGGCACCAAAAACTTAAAAGAAATATCCAGTAGTGCTTCTTCGATCTTCCTTATCTCCGCACGAGTCAACATCCGTATAACAAGTAACCATAACTTCTTTTCTTTTAGAGTCTCATCAAAATAAAATTCCATAGTTTGTCGATCCTTTTAAGTATCTCAGGATTCTTCTTGCAGCCTTCATGTGTGACACCCTTGGTTCACTCATGTATCTGCTCACTAATCCGACTAAGAAATATATACCAGGTCGACTATTACATACATATCTTAGAGATTTGACAATTTGTTTGAACAAAGTTGCATCGACTTTATCTTCCTCTCCATGTTTCTCCAACTTTAAATTTGGTTTGATAGGCAAAGATACAGGAGTCGAACCATCCATTCTGAATCTTTGAGTATCTCTTTGACATACTTTCTTTGATGTAGCACCATGCCTTGCTTCGACATTTGAAATTCCATGCCAAGAAAGTATGACAACTTTCCCAGATCTGACATTTCAAATTCCTTCTTCATCGGCTCTTTGAACTTCAATAAGTTCTTTAAGCTATTTCCAGTTACTAGTAAGTCATCGACACATAAGCAGATTATTGTAATATCTTGTGCCACATCTTAAACATAGACACTATACTCATATTTTCATTTTACGAATCCTAATTCAATCAAATATGTATCGATCTTCTTGTTCCATGCTCTAGGTGCAACTTGTATACTTTACTTGATTCCTCCTGAATTACAAACCCAGGAGGTCGTGTGACATACACCTCTTCGTCTAAAGGTCCACTCAAAAATGTTGATATCACATCTATGTGAAATGTTGACCAACCTTGCTTGCATGACCAAGGCCACAACTAGTCGAATAGTTTCCAATCTTGCGACATATGCAAATACTTCAAATTATTCGAGTCCTGCTCTCTGGATAAATCCTCGAGCTACCAATCTCACCTTATGCCTTGCTATCGACCCATCAACATTGTGCTTTAACTTGAACACCCACTTTACTTCGATAGCTTTTGTATGAGCTGGAAATTCGACCAACTCCCATGTGTTATTTCTTTCAATTGCTTGTAACTCTTCGACCATAGCATACTTCCACTATTTATCTTTGAAGGCTTGTCTATAGTTGTTTGGTTCAACACCTGTAAGTAAAGCAAAATGGACTAGTTCCCCCATCTATTATGACTTTATCATCACCAACCACTTCATAGTCTTGAACTCTTGCTGAACGAGCTCTAGTTCTTTGAGGTTTCTAACTTGTGCCAACCATATCCTCTTCGACTTCGACTGTGTCGAGAACGTCAACAACTGCTTCGACTTCTTTTTTGACTGGAGTATCAACAATGTGTTCGACTTTGACATCATTACTTGCTTCGTCGAAATCATAACTCATTAGTGGCTTGTCAATTGCATTACTAGAATTCCAATCCCAGGCAGAATTTTCATCAATCACGATCTCTCAACTCATCACAACCTTCTGATTAATTGGATTGAACAACACGTATGCTCCAGTCTTATGATATCCTACCAGAATCATAGGTTCACTCTTACCTTCAAGCTTCCTTCTCTTAACATCATAAATATGCTTGTAGCAAATAGAGCCAAACACCTTCAGATGACTCACTGATGGTCGTTTTCCACTCCACACTTCTTCAGGAACCTTGTTCTTCAGCTTCTTGGTAGAGCACCTGTTCAGAATACAAGCAACACTCGAAATAGCTTCTCCCCATAAAGATTTTGGCATATTCTTCTGCTTCAGCATGTATCTATCTAGAACCTTATTGTCCCAAATTTCCCCAGACACCAGCTGCAGATCGATTGGGTCTTTCAAGTTGTCGTTCTCCGATTGGTGATGATGTTGATTCTGTTGCAAGGCGTGGACGCTACCTTGCAACACTTCGTTATGTTGGAGCATATTTTCCCCAACGTCGAGTAGCTCCTCCATGGCAACCTATGATTCTTGATTGTTGTTGCTCGCCCTGGTCCTGTAAGGATGACGAGCTCGCTGGTTTGCAATTTTGTGTGGCTAAGGTAAGTTTTACTAGAGCCCCATGATAAAATATTCACACAAAGAACACTGATTTGTTAACTCTTCTGAAACTAGTTAGATAGAGTCACAAGAGAGTCATAATGGGTGACTTTTTTGTTTTATGATTTCAGTCTCTCTTTCTTATTTGAAAATCGTCCTCTTTATAGTAATTTCCTCACTATGATATGAGAGAATGGAGGTAGAGACCATTAATACTATTCAATGGTCATAACGACCTAATATTTTCTCATTATGGAATTCAATGGGGATGTTTGGACATGCTGACATCACAATAATAATGCCTATGAAGACGTGTCTGATATACCTTTTATCACGTCTCCTAGGGTATCTTGATACTGGGCGACTTATACCACCTCTCTTGAGATACCTCGACTCTGGGCGACTTATACCACATCTCTTGGGTATCCCAAAACTGGACGATTGCCCGCCAAATTTTGAGATATACACTACTCTATCTAACTTCAGTTGCCAACTTGTCTGTCTACTATCAACCGCTACTCTAACCACTGTCACCACCAACCATCACTCTAACGATCATCAATCATCACTCTAACATTTATCAACCAACAATTACCCATTTCAATCATTATTAAAGTTACTAAATAAAATTTCCAAACTCAAAATTAAACTTGTTTTTGTTTTTAAAAAAAAATTCAAAACATAAAACTTGAAAGTGGATTTAGTTTTAAAACCTTAAACACAAAAAACAAAAAACAAAATCACACTAAATGAAACCAAATATGAACACATTCCAGCCAACAACTTTTTTCATATGAAACCAATTAAACATGTCTACAAATTTCTCCTTCACAATCATGGAACAATGGACCACAAAGCTCTTTTATTTATTACACATTGTTGGCCCATACCCAAATTCCTTTTTCCCTCAACTGTTTTTTGTCACCAATACTTTAATATTATTGGTACTATATCAAGGAACAAGAACCAAATTAGTGAGTTCATTTTTCCTTTGCAACAAAAAGTAGAACCAACTTTAACCATTTGACTAGTTTGTCCTTAGTTTACCAAAACAAATAGAATCAATCTCTTAATCAACGGTCCAGATTATGCCAAAAATCAGTAGACACCTCTCCATGAGAGCCATTAATTTTATAGCTTGAATGCTTGATCACCAACCATACACAACCAACCCAGCATTAAATTTGAGCACAATGAAATTGGTGGCTCCAAAACAATCCTTATCAATGTATTCAATTCACCAAACAACCTATCTCTTGATTTAGTCTATGATATAATTAATTCCAATATCAAGAACCCGACTAAAGTTTTAAAAAATCTATAAATGAAAAAGATAACAATATTTTTACTAAATTAGCTTCTTTTATATATATTAGTATATTCACTATTATAATAAATATAACAATAAATATAAAGTGAAAGACATTAACCTGACAAGTACTTTTAATTAGATTATATAAATACAAAAAATAATAAAAAATATTATCTTGAAAAAAAATAAATTTATATTTAAATATTATTTTTATATATAGATTATTCATTGTGTGACCGAGAAAATATAAGAGAAAAATTACTTTACATCGTATAAAAAAAGTAGTTTTTAAAAAATAATATATTTTTTAATTAAAATAAATTTAAATTAATAAAAGAATATTTAAAAAATAATAATATTAATCTTATAAATACAATTTAAATGATCTATATTTGAATTATGATTTATGATCTCTTAATATTTAATATGTGTAAGTTTTTTTTCTCCACTAAACTCTTTAAAGAACCACTTAAATTATATTTTCCATCATAATGTTTATTGTTTACAAAATATAATAATAAAGTTTCACAAGAGGGTCCTACATAGTACTTAGTAATTAATTAAAGAAGTGTTTCAACTATTATATCTATACATCTTTTATCATTTTTTTGTCCCAAGCCATAAAAATTGTCACGAGTTAGAACCATAAACAAACACAAGTAGTGTGTATACTCAAATCAATTGCATATTTTACATCATAACTTCATACAAGAAACTCCAAAAAATGATCAATGATAGTGTCAATAATCTCTCAATTGAGAAATCTTTTAGAATAAAGCAAGATGATGATAGATTCTTCTCAAGGCTAAAATCCAAGGAAGCTTCAAGTGCCAACACTTCATCAAGAATCTTGTATTATGGAGAAACCTCAATTGCAATTCCCTTTGTTTGGGAGGAACAACCTGGTACTCCTAAACACCCTTTGTCTCAAATCTCTATACTTCCTCTTACACCCCCACCTTCATTTTATTCTAAAAAATCCAATACTAACAAAAAAAGAAAATCAAAAATCAATGTTTTTTCATGCATTTTGCCAAGGTTAGTAGGTTCAAGGAAAACTACTCATAGTCATGCATCATCAACATCAACATCAACATCGTCAACATTGTCACAGTCGTCATCGTCGTCTTCGTCATTGTACTCATATTCGATGAGAGACAACAATCATGGAAGTTTCTCTTCCTCATGTTCATCAACAATTGTTAGCTCACTTTTGAAACAAAAGGGTTCAAACAGAATTAGAGGATGTTATCCTATTGGAAAAATAAAGAATGCTACTATAAGTCATGGAGGGTAATTTATTAAGGTAATTAATTCCTTTTTTAGAGATTAGTTTTCTACATGGTGTGCTAGTAAATATATATTTTATATTTGCCATTAAAAAGTTTAAATGTAGTTGTTTGGTTGATGATAATATTTATTTAAATGTATTCAATATATTGGTTTTATATCTCATTATCAAGATTAAAAATGCAAATGCTTTAAATTAGATATATGTTTTCTTTTTATTATTATATCAAATAAATTATAATAATTACTTATAATTCACACTTACACAAAATTTGTAAAAATGGCCTTTTCACTGTGATAAACAAAATTTGTATTATAGTTGTTCATAAGTGTCTCAAGGCTCCAAACGGAATGTCCAACTCATACAACTTACTACTTGCATAATTGTTTTCAGAAATATCACTCAAACACATTTTTTATATATATGGTAGCTGTAGTGGCGGAGCCATAAATTTAGGACAGAGGTGCAAACTACTTTACTTTGTTCAGATCAAGAATAAAAAATAGTTAATGAGGGAATAAAATGAGACTAGGCAACGAAAGTAGCTTTCGATACATCAATACAGCAGAGCAGAGTAAGTCTATAAAGTTAACTCCCGAACATCAAAGTTAAAAAATGAATGAGAAGTAATATTAGTGTAAGAATAGATATATATAATATTTGAGTTCGGGGGAGTGAAGAGTTTTATATATGGAAGACGGTTAGAACTGTCCTAGATTATCCGCCGTAGGATGCGGATGACCTTTTGATTAATATGACGATGAGCACTCACCCGAGGACAACGATTCGGTGTTGAACTCTTGACTGTAGGATCACTCGTTCTCTAGTAACCCATGTTTGTGCCTTTGAATTGGGCTTATCGTAATTTGGCTTAAGGGCGGCCTAAAACAGTTGTCCTTGTCGCTACTGCGAAAAACACCCGGCGGAAAACAGAAGAGTCGCCACCGTTCGTTATTTATCCCAAAGAGAGGGAAAGGAAACGATCAGAGAAAACCTACGGAAAAGGGAAAAGACAGGTCATCGCAACCAAATCTTGGATTCGGGAGTCGGTTACGCAAGGGGAAGGTATTAGCACTCCTTACGTCCGTTATACTCAACGAGATCCACGCTTGTTGTCTATCTAAAAGGGTGTGTTTATCTATAAGGTTGGCTCACAGGACAAAAGAAAAGAAAAGAGACTCGATAGAGTATCGCCGCTTTATGCCTACGTATTCCCTCGTACAATGGGAAAGTCAGAGTCAACGTAGTTGGGGGCAAACTACGGGTGAAGGTGGGAAAAGATTGATCGCCAAGACATCGCCGTCTTGTGTCTACGTATCCTCGTCTGGTATGAGAAATCAGAGCAAACGTAGTTCGGGCTAACACGACCACAAAAGGTTCGAGTGTTTTTTATGAATGACGTTAAATTCCCATTCCAGTAGTTAGGGTCGATGTCTGTTTGCGGTAGAACGGAAAAGTAACACACTCTTTCTGAAAATGGTTTTCAATTAATCCCGAAGGATAAAAGGTTTGGTGTTTTGTTTGTATTTTTTAGTGAAGTAAATTAATTTGGTTTGTGATTCACATTGCACTAAAGACTATGACATAGGAACGAATGCGTCGCATATCGCCCCCAGACGGGACGTACACTAAACACTCTAGACAAGCGAGAGGAGACCCCTCACTCATCATTTATGTAACACCCCAACTCTAACACTTGCGGATAACAGGAAAAATGACAACTCATATAACAAACAGAGCGCAACAACATAAAAATTGCACGCATGACGATGGTAATGAAGGTGTGACGGTCGTCACACGTCCATAATTCTTCATATCAGAGATGTTACATTCAACTGAACAGACAATATGCATTTATGCAACCACATTCAATAACATACGTAACACGAAATTGGATGAACAGTCAACAATGTATTACTTAACCATTTAATCATAAAATAACTTGTCATTACTTCCGGCGGAAGGTAATAAGCTTACAACGGTTCAATTAAAACAATGCAGTATAAGTTCTTCACAAAGTTTAGCAACAATAACATCAACTAAAGCAATAATATAAATCGTTCATCCCCCAAGAGTGCTACGTATCAGAGCGACCAACGACACCTTAACGACAAAGCGGAAACTCTATTCCTGGCTACCTGCAAATTACCACCGATGGCGGTAACATACAACGTAAAGGGGTGAGATATCAACAAAATAACATAAGGCATGATAAAAGTCATGTTAGAAATCATATCACAGCAATATAATCTTTGCAAACTTATAAACATCAACGACAATCATTTGCAAGCAAATTCATATCTCACGTATGCCACAACAACCGACAACCAACATAATTATGCAGCTTTATGCGACTCAGCAATGCAACTCAACTGTGCATATGCATGTGGTACCATTTAGGAGCCAACACCCCAAAACTCGGGATATGAGCCAACACCCCAAAACCCATTTAGGAGCCAACACTCCAAATAACGCCAATTCAGGCCAACCAAGATGATATGCCATGAAATGCACCTATTATGGACTACAACACAACCATAACGACCATACAATAAAGCTTTATACTTACAACCAAACTGTCCATAACAGAGCATCATTCTCATACAACTCAAGACACTATCATTTCCACCTGTTCACGTATGAGAGCAATAATAGCCTTAAATCAACAATTAAGAATTCAACATACGATCGTGATGACAACATATCTGCTCCTATTCACATGATTAATTACAAATCTCTATCAAGGTTTAATTACGAAACAATTAGGACAACTACCCTTTTGCCCCATTAGGGAAACCTTAGAGCATCGTACTACTAACGATATAACACATTCATTTCTACATATTTGCCCCATTAGGGAAACCTTAGAGCATCGTACTACTAACGATATAACACATTCATTTCTACATAATTGCCCCATTAGGGAAACCTTAGAGCATCGTACTACTAACGATATAACACATTCATTTCTACATAGAAAAACCTCGTCCCTAACATTTATCGATTAACGGAAATTATGCCTATGAATCGATTCCCTACATGAAATCGATCATACCCACGGTTATAGAATTGAACTCCACCCTTACCTTAGAATAGAGGCCAATTCCACGCTTTCGGTTCCGGTTCTGGTTTACGGTAACTCTCCTGCAACTTTCTTCCAAGTTCTCTGATGGAAAATTCTTCTGTTATCAATTTCTCTCAACCACACTATTTTCTTCCTTTACGGTTTCTCTTTTTGTGAAAACTTCCCAATTCAATTGAGTGTAATGGAATATGGGGATACGTTACTAAATTTTTAACATTCAGGTGGCCACGTCCCAATTCTGTTTTTAATTTGGATTTTTCGTTACTATGACGAGCGTAACAAGTTCCTGACGAGCGTCACGACCGTGACGACCGTCACATACCTGTGACGACCGTCATATAAGCAAAATTTCAATTTTCTTAGACAGAAAATTTCTTAAGCTTTCCAACGCTTCGAACGGGGACTAAAACCGACTTACGGATCAAGAGATATGAATTTTCGAAGTTTTCCCTAAAACTGCTACGGGATTCTGCACTTTTGCCCGAAAATTCGACCGATTCAATTCCTTTCTTCGAAACAAAGACATTTTCAAATACGACTACGATGCAACGAGACACGATAAAATCATAACTAAATTTAATCGAAATAAAACGGGCGTTACAATTTCCCATGTGCTTAAGGCTCGTAGTATACAACATTCATCGTATTTATTAGATGAGTTAAAATGTGTTTTGAGATGAGAAGAGAGACGCACGAAAGGTCTAAGGGGAAACTAAATCGAACCCTAATGTTAGCATGCAAAATGGTCCTAAAGTTGGGATTAAAAGAGGGAAATCTACTCTAATGTTAGCATGCTTGGATTGAACACCTAATGTCTTTCCTATTCCATCTTAAACAAGAAGGAATAGAAATCCTAAGGGATCATGGCAAGAGACCAAGAAAACACAAAGCAATTCAATCACAAAAGAAAAGAAATGCAAACATGTAATGCAAACATGAAAGATGCAAGGATGAGATGAAATGAGAGAAGTAAACTCCTACGACCATTACCATCAATCGTTGAAGAAAAGTGGGAGGAAAAAAGTGTGGGACAACAGCCACCACAGGCACATCTTAACCAAGCAATTCTTTAAACTTAAGCCATGCAAAATGGTCATCACTTGAACAACATTCATAAAGTATGCATTCAAGTGAAAATCTAACAACGCGTGTCAAATAATCAATATTAAACAATCACGAACAACAACACATATCCAAAATATCTCACTCAAATGAATCATATTGATCCATGAAGATTCAAAGTGATAAGCAACCAAAACATGCTTGAAAATAGGCAAAAGTGGCATTCTGGTTCAGTGTTAATCGGTTAACACTATTGGTTAACTGATTAACCATTAAAAGTTTTTGAAAATTCGCACTGGTTATTCGATTAACCAGTTTGCACTGCAACTGGTTAACCGATTAACACTGTACCAGAAGCAGAAAAACAGCAGCTCAAAAGCACTTTCAGCAATTAATCAATTATGCAACAATCCAAATGATACTATAATCAATTATGCACGAATTTTAACCAGAAATACCCTGCAAAACAGAATAAAATTGACCGCTTGGTTTCCGGGCAAAATAAATGTCGGAGCTGACGCTGCTCGCTATTTGGTCTTTTGTACTAACAATGAAACCTGAGTAACGAAAATGCCTTGATTCCCTGCCTCATGAACAAATGCTATGATATGCGAAAATGAAAAAATCCAGAGAAACAAAAGTCAGTTAAGGGTTAAAACAGAAGGGAAAATTTTGGGGTGCTACAGTTCTCAAGGTTTTTCGTTGAATAGCAGTGTGATATAAAATTATTGGGTTGCTTTATTCTAATACTCCTGATTGACTCCTAGCTGGTAGAAGCAGAAAAGGTTTGGTGAGTGAGATCAATTAAATGCGGGAACATGCATATTTAATATTAGTATTATCACTTAATTGTTTGATG